CAAAAAAAAAAAAAAAAAAAAAGACATGGGGTGGAGTGGGGAGGAAGGAAGGAAAAATGCTGAACTTGGTGCTGTGGGGTTAATGGGAAGGAGCGCATAGAGGATGCTTGTGGTGGGAAGTGCCAGCCTGGTAAGGAAAGGGAGAACGACAACATTTGCATGTTGAGAAAGAATGCCGACTTTTTTTTTGGGGGTGGGGGGAGAGGTTCTAGACGTGGCACGGTGGGAGATATACTTGTCATGTGTCATCAAGAGTCAACCTGGAACTAAATTTATCACTAGATTTAAAAAGATTTCCAAATCTGGAAACCAAATAGAGAGATGGAAATGCCAAAAAATAGAGATAAGATCCAACTGCTCGGGTGGTACAACTGATTGATTTTCACGATAGACATCTATTTCTTACAATTTTTAATCTGTGCATATGAACTAGTCTTGTACTCTTTTTTTCCTTAATCAAAATTTTTAATGAAGAAACTCTCAATTCGTATTACTAAATATTTACACTCTTTTTTTTCACCACAAGTTTTTTAGTAAAAATATTGTGAATGTCAATGTGGTCAAATAGTAACATACTCTTGTTCCAAAGTCTATAACCTATATATATCCCCTTCTTCTAATATTTTATATTAAAAAAATCACCAAAATATCCTAAGAAATGTTACTAATATCTCTCTTCTTGCTATTTAAGTTTTATACACTATCTTCATTTTATAACAAACGGCTAATTAAATAGCTCCTTTAGATGTATTGCGTAATTTACTTGCTACAAATTGACCAAATATTAAATAATTTCTTTAAAAAAACATACTATATCGTAAAAACTATACCACAACACTTTGTTTAGATGGTTGTAACCCGTTGTATTATATTGTATCATATCGTTTAAATTTATTATTAGGTAAGAATAAAACATTCATTTACATATTTATCATTAGGTAAGAATAAAACATCCATTTTATGCAACGATCAATTTGGTGTAATCGCTTCGTTACCTTAATATTTTCTTCTTATTTTGTCGTTATTTATTATTATTATTATTTAATAATTATATTTCATTTTTTACCCTAACTTTTCATAATAGTTCTGTCCTTACTTTATTTTTCTAATAAATTTATGTTCAAATTATGAATATTTGACATTATATCACGATAGAGAACGAAACAATCCATTTAAATATTATATTCATTAAAATACTACTCCCTTCATTTCAAAAAGAGTGATCTGGTTTGACTTGACACGAAGTTTTAGAAAATAAAGAAGATTTTTGAATCTTGTGGTCCTAAATTAAAATCATGTCAAATGTACTAAATTGCCCTTCAATCTTATGGTTTTAAACATGCCACGTGGAAATTTGAAATTAAAATGTTACAAGAAAAAAGTCATTATTTTTTAAATAGACTAAAAAAGAAAAGAAATCGTTACTTTTAAACGAAGAAAATAGTACAGTACGATACATATATATTATGAAACAATATATAACAATCATCCTAACAAAGTGTTAATATCGCTATTTGTCCACTTCGGCGTCTGAGACAAAACAAGAAAGAGATACAAAATTGAGCAGAAAATCCAAGGTTCATTCGCCTCTCCGACTATCGGTTCCCTCGTTGTTTTGATAGCAAGCAAGATTTCATCTTTTCTGCAAATTTAAGCTATTGGGTTTTCAATATTATCAAATAGCGCCTTAAAGTGAATTTGAATTGATTTCATATGTTTTCTGTGGCAGACTCTATGTTGTTGTTGTTTTTGAGAACGAAGAGAAATCATAGTAAATAGCATTCTAGGGCATTCAAAATTTGAACTTTGTTCGTCTGAACCCATAGCTCATACTGTGTAAGTGGTGATTAGTAAATGGCAACTTGGATTTATGTGAAAACCCAAAGAAATGGGTACTTGAGTTTATGTGATCCAATGTTTCATTTTCATCTTGTGCGAAGGTTTTCTCTCTGGTCAATGAAGAAAGATCCAGATCTTGAAGCTGCATTACATAGAAATCGTAGATGGGTAGTTAATAATCAGATTAAGAACATTATTATGAGATGTCCTGACCAGGTTGCATCAGTAAAGTATCTGCAGAAGAAGTTCAAGACTCTTGATCTTCAAGGCAAAGCTTTAAATTGGCTTAAAAAGTACCCTTGTTGCTTTGAAGTCTACCTTGAGAATGATGAGTATTATTGTGGGATGACTAAAAGAATGATATTTTTGACTCAAGAGGAAGAGTCTGTAAAGGATATGCAAGAACCGTTATACGCAGACCGATTAGCTAAGTTGTTGATGATGACCCGTGATCAAAGGTTGAATGTTATGAAACTTAATGAACTGAGGAGAAATTTTGGATTTCCTGATGATTATTTGCTCAGAATTGTACCCAAGTACCCTCAAATATTTAGAGTTGTTAACCACACTGGGAGACGGAGTTCGATGGAGATAGAGCTCACAGCCTGGAATCCTGATTTAGCTATTTCTGCAATCGAAACAACGGCTAAAAAGGATGGTCGAGAGCCATGCTTTCCGTGCTCGTTGCCTCCAACTTGGGTCAAATCATTGGAAAGGTTTGAAGATTTTAATTCTACTTTATATGTTTCACCTTATTCAGGATTTGATGGTTTAGTGGAGGGTTCAAAGGAAATGGACAAGAGAACAGTGGGGTTGGTGCATGAATTGTTGTCATTGACCTTGTGGAAAAAAGCATCAATTTTCAAATTGGGCCATTTTAGAAGAGAATTATGTCTACCAGAGAAATTAAATGTTTTTCTGCTCAAACATCCTGGAATATTCTATGTTTCTAACAGATACCAGATCTATACAGTTCTCCTGAGGGAAGCATATAATGGGACTGAACTGATCGAAAAGGATCCTCTTCTTGTTGTCAAGGAGAAGTTTGGTGAATTGATGCAGGAGGGACTCCATGAATATAATCGCAGACATTATCTATTAAATTTAGAAAAGAAGAGGAACAGAGGCATGATAATGCAAAAGCCAGAGAAAAGGAGGAACCAAAGCGACGAAACATCAGAACAAGATAAGGAGGGAGGAGATCTAGGTGGCATATTTGATCCAGAAGAGAGAAAGCGGTTTTACAAAGTTCTGTTTGATGACAATGCTCCATAAGGAACGGAAAATGTAAACATATCCATATTAACATCAGTTTATTTCTCTGATCTTCTTGTGCCTCTCCCAGTTGCCCTACCAAGAAAAGCTTAGAAGATGAGTTAAAGAATCAGTTAGGATCAGCTCCTTTCTTTCTCTCCTTATATATTTGTTTTCAGGTAAAGATTGGCTACTTCTGAATGATGTTATATCATATATGTCTGCACCTAATCTGCTCAATTTATTTTGTTAACTGTCTTTTTGTTATTGAGAGGTTCTGAGACTTACAAACTGATTTTTTGATCTCAAGAAATAGAGAAGGATGAAAATATTTTCTGCCACTTACATAGTTCATTTTGCACCATTTTTTGTATTTTATACTATTTGTGGTATTCTTAATGTAACATACCTTTTTCTTTTCTTCTAAGTTAAAACTTGGATGAAATTTGGAATATATACATTAAATGTATAGCCATGCGTTTACTGTGGATTCTTCATGTAGGATTCCACTACTAAAGCATTCTTGAGCACCTTGAGATGTAAAAGTTGAGGGCTTTCCGATTTGTTATTCCAAAAGCTGGGGGATATGATAGACATTATCTAGAAGTTCTACTTTAGTGATCAAATAGAAAATGTGTAATGATCACATAGAAAATGTGTTCTATGGGCTGAAGTATTTTCTGTTAAGTAGAGGGTGGGAGAGGTTCAAATTTCATCACTTCTCTCAGTTCAGTTGAAGGTGTAAATATAATTCTTAATGTCTTGTTCAAAGAGTTTTTTCAAAGAAAAGTGTAGCCTTGAATTTTGTTATTTTAATGTTGTTTCAGTACTTGAAGTTGGGATGAGCCCTTAGATCTAATCAAAAGTTTTTTTTTTTAGGATAGTTCTAATCAAAAGATTCTTCTTGAAATATTCTAGCCCCTATATCATAAAGAAGATGTTCGAAGTAGGACAGAGAGAAGATTCAAGGGCATTGGCAGCTTTCTTGTGCTATCATCAAATTTCCTTGCTATTTAAAATCTGTTCTTTGGTCTTGCCTTTTATGAAATTGTTTCCAAATAAACATATAATGTCTGAATCTGTCCTATTTAACTTCCTCAGACAATCTTAACTAGGTCATATATGCAGTTATGATCAGATTGTTCAAAGACTAAGAGTTTGGCTGTGGCTTCATTCACTAATTATAGCTTTAACATCGTGAAGACAGAGTTTTCCTTTAGTGGGTAAGTTAGCAAACATTTCTATGCATATTTGATATAGATAACTAATTACTGTAGTGAAAAGGAACTAATGGAGTAATATGTTTTCTGTTTCCTTTCTTTCCTTTACTTTCAAGAAGCGAGACGGGAAAAACCTGAAACGGAACCCACAATGTTAAGGCCTTCTTTCGATGCCTTTGTAGTATATAGGAGCTTGGTTTGGCCCTGTATATCTGACCAATTAGGGGCCATCTATTTTAGTTTTGCAATTGCGACACTAATGGGATTCACTTTTCTTTCCTCTTCTGATGGGTGTGAACATCAACTTGAAGGGGTTTGATCCCTATTTTATGTCCAATATTTCTGACGACCTGATTCCTCTGTTGATTTGTAATATTTACTCCCACTTTGTTAATGTAGAAACAAAACAAATGTTAGGCTGAAGCTCTCGTGCTTCACAGTGGAAATACATTGATTGTTTCTCTACTTTGTTGAAGGAAGAGAGGGAAGACTACATACTATGCTCCCATTTGTAGGCGGGGTGACTCCAAGATATCTGAAGGATGATGGAATTATACTTGTGTGTGCCATATCTATTTTTCCTCTGCTTTCTAGGACCTATTTGCATCTCCTGTCTTACTTTGCACTCTCTATTGGTTGGGAAAGGGGGAAATAAACTAATTTCACTGTGCCAAATTGTTTTGATACTTGTCAAGAAACCATCCTTTCAGTCCCAAATTCAAGTTTTCCTCAACTCCTGTTTCAATTTAAACACAAGTCAAGAACCCCACTTCAATTTTTCTGAAACCTACCACTAGGGACTCCCAATAAGTTCATGTGTTGTTTAAGAATCTCTCTGCGGTTGAAAGAGCACTTATGTGGCATTGCTGGTGCATTCACATATGGGTGTCTCCACCCACTTGACACTATCAAAACTAAGCCGCAAACTAAGGGGTGTCTGAGATTTACAGTGGAACAATTGATGTCATTGTCAAAACTTTTCAAAGCAAAGGGTTTCTTGGATTTCACAGTGGTGTTTCTGCTGTAATTGTTGGGTCCACTTCTTCCTCTGCTGTGTATTTTGGGACTTGTCCAAATTTCCTCTATACTCTTCTGTGCTCATTCCACCCAAAGCTGGTGCAAAGGGAGTATAGTGTCATCTGCTATAATGGTGCTGAAGGAATTGATTACCCATAGGATTCAGTCTGGGGCTAAAGGGAGGTCTTGGCAGGTATTGATGAGAATTTTGGATAAAGATGGAATCTTGAGATTGTATGCTGGATATAGTGCTACATTGTTGAGGAATTTCTCTGCTGGGGCCTTGAGTTATTCATTGTTTGATTACTTGAAGGCGAAAGACAAAAAGGGAGCGTGTGGAGCCATTTCAGAGTGTTTGTTGTGGGGCACTGGCTGGTGCAATATCAGCTTCATTAGCAATGCTTTTAGATGTGGTGAAGACTTGGTTGATGACTCAATTTGATTCTGAACCTGCCAATAAGGTTGACGTTTCTATGGTTACTGGCATCTTGGCTACTGTTAGACAGATACTGAAAGGAGAAAGGTGAACTGGTTTTTCAATGGGAATGGGTCCTACAGCATTTCATAGTGCTTGTTTTTCAGCTCTGGGGTACTTTGCATTGAAACAGCTAGGTGTACAATTCTGGATCAGTATCTGAAGCATAAGGAGCTAGAGACTTTGGTTCCCGCAGAAGCGCAGATGCATCCCAGGTCAATTTGAGTGTACGAGTGTGGTTCTTAAATTCAGTTATTAAACTTTTGGTAAGTGCTCTTCTTTCTTATTGTTTTCCAATCATATCTCTGTAGTTAGTGTCCTTACAAGTTGGAACCTTACAAATTGGCTTACAAGAATGTCTCTGGATTCAGTTTGCTAATATTAGACGGATATGTATATCTACTTGTCTGCTTCTTTTCTCTCTCTTACATAAGACAAACAATTGAGTGAAGATCTTATATAGTCCATTTATTTTCAGAAATCAACTAATCAAAACTTATTAAGTGCTTGTCTTCTAATTATGTTTGACACTTGAGTAATAGTCTAGTATCTGCTTACTTGATTGAAAATGTGAGAACATCAATCTACTGTTGGATAATTAATGTATGCGTGATGAAGTAGCGCAAGAGAATGCCTTATTTGGGAGCTTCTCATTGATAGCTTTAAGGATAACGAAAATGAACCACAAAAGATGGAACAGATAGCAGTAGGGTAACACAATAAAAAGATGGATATGAGTACTATTAGTCGGCTTGCTAGTTGACAGAATGATTGTGCCACATACTTCTTCAGAAGAAATAAGAAAAATTCTCAGCTAGCCAGTTATGTTGTTTTGCACCTGACCTTTAGAGGACAATTTGGAAGGAGAGGCCGCAATATATTCTCTGCTGGACATCTGGCCTATTACAAGTTACCTTGGGGAATACCAGACATTGCGTTTAGTGTGATTGGAAGTGCATTATTTTCTGCTTGTGCATACTACAATTTCATCTTAATGCTATCTTTTGAATAAAATTTCATTTTACTGATTCAAAAAGAAAAAAAAATGTGAAAGTTTTCTTTCAAGAATAAAAAATATAATGTGAAAGTGCATCTTTGCACGTTTATTTGTTGGAATACTGCATGTATTGGCTAACAGTTGGACTTGGCAGCTCAGTTTGGTCACTGAGACTTCAGGGGATAATTATAATGTGGATTGCACTTTCTCATATTTCTATAGTTTAGAGTACATTTTCCATGAAATGGAAATGGGACACGGAGTATTTCTTCAATTATTAAGGAACATAGACCGAAATCTTTGTTCATTGTTTCTAACAAAACCGATCATTAACGGCTAAACCAGCTGTGAAATATTGCATCCACAACATTTTGCTAAAGTGTTCCATCACTGGCCCCTTTTGATATTGCATCATCAACTTGTATTAGAACATAGTGTTCCTTAACATTGAAGTTCATGTGGGGTCTGTGATCCGATATCACCTATCAGTAGAATATTTATCTTTTCCTGTGATCGTCTAGAAATATCATCAAGGGGGCAGGAAATTTACCTTTTTAGAGAGGAGGTGGAGAGGGGGATTTAACGTCATTAACTCTTTATATAAGTAAAATACGACTAAATGTAAGTATGAGGTTAGCGTTATAGTTCACATAGTATTAACTGGAGAATTTTTTGTTTTTTTTTGAGAAGGTAACATTGTGTATATTCATTGAACCAGTGCTTGGGTTGCACTAAACCATATTTACAGCTTGTCAAAAAGTAAGAAAACTGAATCTGAATCCTAACAGGAACCTAGGATATCTATAATGGATTCAGTGTCCTCTAAATACATTTGCTTGCACCAGAAGCAAAAAAGCCTGATACAATTTAGTTTGATCTTTTGAAGATCACAACTCTTGCTCTCAAAACATCTAGCATTTCTTTCTTTCCAAACAGTCCACCAAATACAGGCGGGGACAATCCTCCATCTATCTCTATCTGCTGCTCCCACCCCTACTTCTCCCCAACTGTATAAAAGATGCGTGATTCTGTTAGGCATAGCCCAAGCAAAACCCCTGAGCCTAATGAAAATCCTCCATAGCTGGGATGTTATTCTGCACTGGAGAAACAGATGATTGACTGTTTCAACCTCTTCCCCACATAAATAGCATCTAGAACACATGGAGAACTTTCCTTTTCTTGAGATTTTCATGTGTTAAAATTGCTTCTCTTGCCAGAAGCCAAGTGAAACATGACACCTTGAAAGGGATTTTAGGTTTCCAAATCTGCTTCCAAGGCCAAAGAGAAGGTTGTTGTCCATCTTGATTTTAGCAACTTATATGCAGAGTTTACCTTCGAATGTGCCTTTGTTATTTCTGCTCCACCATAATCTATCATGTTCATCCCTTGTTCCTGTAAAAGCTTCCAGCCTTCCAAAAAAATCAGTCGCGATCTCGATTTCCCAATCATTGAAATTCCTTCTAAACTGGAAATTCCATCCATGCTGTGTCCAAACCTCAGCTACACTCACTTGTTTATTCACTGCCAAGTCATGCATCTCTGGAAAGATACTTTCCAAGCTAAAGTTGCCCAACCATTTATCCTCCCAAAATGAAGTCTTGATGACATTTCCTACCCTGATGGTCGTATTGATCTTCAAGAGAGGCCACAAGATTCTGATGGACTTCCATAGGCTTACTCCATATGGTGAAAGGACCTCCTTTGTCATCCACTTGTTCTCCTCTCCATATTTTGCTTGAATTACTTTTCCCCAGTATGGTTGAGGCTCTTGAGAATACCTCCATAACCACTTTAGTCTAAGGGTTTTGCTCTGCTTTTTCAAATTCCTTACTCCAAGACCCCCATGTTTCTTCCCCCAGAGAACCTTGTTCCACTTGACTAAATGTTTGACAGTGGAATCATTTTCCTCCCTTTCCATAAGAAATCCCTCCTAATTTTATCAAGTCTTTGTATCACCCTGTTAGGAATAGGGAAGATGGACACCATGTAAGTAGGTAAGGCATCTGGACCAGGAGCTTTGTCCATGGCGCACATCTTCAGACATGCTAGTACTTCTTGCTCCTCAAACTCCCTTTGTAACAGTTCATTTTCAGCTTCAGTGACCATTGGACAGTTGATTAGGTTGCTGGAAGGTCTTCTATATGAGGTTTCTGAATAAAGCTTCTGATAAAAACCAATAATCTCCCCTTTAATTCTCTCTGGATCCTTCATTGTTTCATCTTGAATTATCAGTTCTTTATTTTTTCCTATGACTGAGAAGATCATTGCATACACTTAGCAGCGGTAATCAATAAATTACCACGAACCACTCTGATTCAGCTTATGGGGCCTATAAACTTCTTTCTTTTTATTTTTAATGCTGAAGCCTACTGAAACCATCTTGTGGCATATATTGCTTCTCAAAAAAAATAAAAAAATCATAGGAGCTTTCATTCTGGAGAAATAGTACAACTGAACTTCATGTCCATAATTCCTACATGGACTACAGAGAAAAAAATGAAAATACTTTGACAGTCATCTATCCTGTACTCTTTAGAAACATGCTTTGCCCTTAATAAAGTTGTGCACTGTGCTGAAAGATAACTTTACCATTTTGACTTCACAATTCCTGATACCAATGTTCTTAGAGTTTTCAATGTAAAAAATAAGTGGCTTAGAATTCGAATCAAGAGGATCCATAAACCTTTTTTATGATAAGGAAAACTCAACTAAACCATTGGGCCAAGGGTCTTACTTGAGAATCAATTAATGGCGATCATGGCTTTTTGTAAACAGTATTCCACCTTGTCTTTTGTATTAGCAGACTTCCTTAGATAAGATCTTGAAATAACTTACTCCCCCCCCCCCCCTCCCCGTTCAAATTTATG